ATTTCCACACAAATTTGCATATATTTCTTTCACCAATTTTCGCTAATGGCTCAACTTCTATCTACTTTGTGAAGTAGTCGATGGCAACAATTAGGAGCTTCCACTGTTTGGCCGCTGTTAGAAGTGGTCCCAGGAGATATAATCCCCATTGAGCAAATGGAACTGGGTTGATAAGGGGAGTGAGCTCTATAGTTGGAATCTGTGGGATGTTAGAGAAGAATTGGCAGGCTTTACACTGGGTTGTAAGCTTTTTAGATTCGACCAAAATGGTCTGCCAGTAGTAACCTTGTCTGATATTTTTTTTTGTGCTAAGGTTCTAGCTCCAATGTGATTCCCACATATTCTTTCATGGGCTTCAATCGTGGGTCAGAGGCACTGAAGGAAAGGGCTCATGCTGATGTTGCTGGTGTATGAAAGATGATAGTGTTGGTCTTCAATAATGAGGTACTATAGGGCGTTCCTTTGCAGGCTTTTGGCCTCCGCCGGATTTTTGAGCAGAGTCCTCTTTGTTAGATATTGGATGACCGAAACCATCTAACAAGGTTGGGATGGAGGCTCTACCTGCATGACTCTGTTGATTGCGGTTTTGGAGATGCTGGGTTGTTTGAGAATATCAGTATATAATGGCCCACAACTCGAACTTTAGTTTGAGGAGCCTAGCTTGGACAACGCGTCCACACGAGCATTCTGGGCTCTTGGGGCTTGTATGATTCAAAATTCCTTCAACTTTCCCAGTAATTCCTTGACCTTCCAGAGGTATTTCGCCATCATATGGTCTTTAGCTTCATAATCTCCCTGTACTTGATAAGTGATGAGATGGGAGTCTACTACAATGAAAACAGACTTATCTTTGGCCTCTAGAGTTGCTCTAAGTCTAACTACGAGGACTTCATATTCAGCTTCATTGTTGGAGGCAGAGAAGTCAAAGGCGATCGAGTATTCCGAGACGAGTCCTTCAAAACTATGCAAACCTACTCCGGCACCACCACCACTATCCCCCAATGATCTATCTACTTTTAGCAACCACCATGATGAAACTTCGGGTGAATCATATTCGGGAGTAATGCACTTTCTAGATGGAGATTTCCTGACTGGCTTTGGAACAGGGCATGGAGCGCCTGAAAGGAGAGCCAGTCTTTAAGATAATAGGTTGTCCTCAGGGTTAGGCGCTTCAACTAAGAAGTTGACCATGATTCAACTTCAATGTCAAAGTCACTAAGTTCAATGGACTAATTGAACACCCTCCTAGAAGTGGTCGGGCTACCAAGAGCTTTCTTCAAAGGCAAATTGGTCTGTACTACCACCGTGTGAGCTTGAAAGAACGAACGGAGCCTTTTGGCTGTTGTAATGAGGGCGAAAGAAGCTTTCTCAATCAGAATGTAATTGAGTTTGACCGCTTTTAGAATGCGGTTGATAAAGCATACTGACTTTTGGACGATCTATTCTTCATGGACTAAGATTGAGCTCATAACTTCTGATGAGATGGCTAGGTAGAGGTAGAGTGGTTCTCCTTCAATGGGTCTGCTCAATAGAGGTTTGGAAGCCAAATACCTCCTAAGCTCCGTAAAGGCATTGTTGCATTCAGTTGTCCACTCTATGTTAGTTTTGGGTCCTTAATTTCCTCTTAGGACTTTAAAGCAGGGAAGGCTTCTTTTGGCTGATTTGGAGAGGAAACAGCTTAAAGCCGCTATTCTTCTGTTTAAATTTTGGATGTCCTTCACTAGACTAGGCTCGGACATCCCTTCAATGGCAACTATCTTTTCAGGGTTGACGTCAATTCCTCATTAAGTTATCATCAAACTGAGGAATTTTCCCGATTGAACCTCGAAGGCACATTTGGCGGGGTTGAGCTTCATCTGGTAGTGGAAGAGGACTGAGAAGGTTTCCTCGAGATCCTCGATGTGGGGGGTAGCTTTTTTTGCTTTTACCAGGATGCCATCCACATACGCTTTCACGTTGCGGCCGACTTGATCTTTGATTATCTTTTTCACAAATATTTGATAGGTAGCTCGAGCGTTTTTTAGGCCATAAGGCATCACCTTGTAACAAAATGTTTCTTGACTTGTGACGAAAGATGTTTTCTCTTCGTCAGACTCCGCCATCTTGATATGGTTGTATTCTGAGAACACATCTATGAAGCTAAACATTTCATGACTAGCACTCTCATCAGCCAGCTAGTCGATCTGAGGGAGAGGGTAGCTATCTTTAGGGCATGCTTTATTCAAGTCAGTGAAATACATGCATATCCTCCTCTTGCCGCTAGACTTTTTGACTAGAACCACATTAGATAGCCACTATAGGTATTGGACTTCTCGAATAAATCCAGCTTTTAGCAACTAGTCCACTTCTTCTGCTGCTACCTGCTGTCGTTCAAGTCCGAGATGCTTTTTCTTTTGTTGAATCCGCTTGTAGTGTTGGTCGACCGACAATTCATGGTTGATTACTTCTTGGGGGATCACTAGCATATCTTTGGGTCTCCAAGCAAAGATGTCGTCAATTCTCATTTCTCATCCTCCTGCAGATAAGCTTAGGACCTCCCGATTGATAGGGTCTCGCAAATCCCTTAAATAGAGTGATCTTCCCTCTTGTGATTGCTTCATGCAAGACCGACACCTTCCGGGTCGAAAACTTCATCATCTAGTAGAAGGTGGATGTAACAACTTAAAAGTCATTCAAGGAAGTCCTTCCTAGGATGACATTGTAGGTTGATCTAACATCTATCACGATGAACTGAACATGGATCATGGGTTGACGAAGATAATCAGAGATCACCATAAGCAGGGTGATTGACCCTTCAAGTCGAACCGAGTGCCCTGAATAACCTATGAGCGGTCTTGGGCCTGGCCGTAGTTCTGATTCGTCAACCCCCATTTGAGTGAAGGCATCCATGAACAGGATGTCGGCGGAGCTTCTGGTGTCTATTAGGATTTTTTTTACTCGAAATCTATTGATTTCCGCCGAGATGATGATGGGATCATCGTGGGGGTGTCTCCACGCCCTTCAAATTACCGTTGTTAAAAGAGCTAGGTTGATCTATCTTGGGCTTCTTCTCGCATAGGTTCACTTTCAATGCTTGCCGAGCATATAGCTTTGGATAATTA